CATATGTAAAGACAGGGAAATAGATGTAATGGCACAAAAGATCGGACTAGTACTGTTGATCCAATTAAGTAGGATTTGTCATTGCTTTGCTTCACTGTCTCTACCTGGATTTGACTGAGGTAATTATATAGGCAATCCCTCAAGTTATTACATTCTATCTAGCAGATGAACTTCAAGTATGTACTGCTGTTTGGATGTGCAATATAGATCATAATCATCTTGTGTATTGATACATGGGCAACAAGATAATGTTGCCCCATCACCCTCCCTGGTTTGCCCCTCCTCCCTTCCTTGCTTTTGATGCCGAGGCAACGAGATAATGCCGGAGCTGTGCAAAAAGCTGTAGCTATGCGGAAAGAAGTAGTTACTTTGTAACAGGGTGTGTGAATGAAGCATTTTTTGGAAATTAGCAAATTTAGCCGAGCAAGCGAACTGCAAAAAGCTAACCACTGGCTGAGCAGACAAGCTTAAAGAGCATGTGCAGAGACAGAGGTGAAAAGTTCACACCCGAGGAAGACTTCTGAGCCTTCATCCAAAACGACCACCAGGAGGCTGATGACCACCTTGTTCAGAAACCACGTATGTGCTACAAGAGCTTATGTAATCATTAGGAAATTTGAAATTAGAAATTAGAATATGGTAATTAGAAAATATGTTACAATGTGAAGGTTAGGAAAGTATAGTATGCACATTAAGTAGAAAAAGTATAAAAGCTTATACTGTGCGAAGAATGAAAGAGTGAGTTTGTGGTGGAGCTATCCCACTCACTCCTGGCGCTGAATAAAAAAAAACCTGCTCCATAGGCCTTATTCTGTGGAGTACAGTTTTCTTGCCTAATTTTTCGGGCATAAGTATGACAATAAGATTCTTTACTGTGGATGTATATGAAGCTTAATAGTGTTTGGCTTCCTTTAGCTGGGTGGTGTGAAAGTTGCCTCACACCTGTCTTCATCATGTGTGACCTTTTCAAGAGGCACAGTACTCTCTGTCTCAGGAGCAGTCATCTTGTTGCTGTGCTTGTGCTGTGGAACTCAGCTCTTGTATCCTGTTGTACCCTTCAGCTTCTGTTTAAGACTCTCACTATCTTTGGAGTTTTGCCAGCTCATCAAGAACACTGTATCACAAGCTGCATGTGTGTGTATATCCTCTGTCTTACGACACTGGTTATTTAACAGTATGACTGAGGGACATCATCTCCCATAAGGGCTGATTCTGTCAGATTGCTTGCTTTCTTCAAAAATGATATACCTGTGCATTTCTTACTCATTGGACTTAGCTTTAAGAGAACTGCTTCTACTCATTTGCTAAACAAAATGACCTCTTACTCTATGTCCTAGACTAAAAGCTAAGGTACACTGAGGAGTGCAATTTTAAAATTTAGTTTATAAAAGTGTTTGTATATCTGAAGACTAAGCAATGCTGTTACTTCTGCTTTTCTAACTGTAGGTGCAACTGACAAATCTCTCCTTCTGAACTGTCGTACATAACTCTTTAATCTCTTAGTGCTTTCGTATATCTCTGACTAGAAAACACAATGTCAGCATACTTAAAATATTGATAATTTGTGTTTCAGGTTTGCATATCTACTTTCTACATGATAAACAGACTAGAGGAACACTTGTACATAGCTCCTATGCATTCAAATCAATAATTTTGTTATTGTGGAGTAGTTAACGGAAGGCTCAGAATAGCATAGAAATATTTTCATCCATTGTAGCATTGAAGCAGTATTCTGTAAAATTACTTAATGTTTTTAGCAGTGACTGAATATTATAGGAATATTACTTAAGTCATATTTATTTACTTGTGGGCCTGTGTTTAAGGCAACCTGTTCACTTGAGCAGAATGTGTCTTTTGTGAGCTGATATATCTGAGCCTGAAAATAGAAATACGTCCCTGTGGTAATAAAGCACTCTAGCCTCTACCTGGTATTTACCTGACTCCTAGTCTAGTTATTTGTACCCTTACTAGAAATATGTTTCCTTTGGCTGTCAAGAGTAAAAATATGCTCTTGTTCTTGAGCCACAGCACTCCTCTATATGCAATGCCATTAAAAGATCCAGTGTGGTAAGTTTCTTTGTTGTGGTTTTTGTTGTTAAGACCACATGCAATGTTCTACATATCTGTATCCTTGAATGCTATAGAAGACCAGTAAAGCTGTCAATTGATTTTACCTTTTACAGCCTTCTCAGAAGAGAAGGATTTGGTGGGGGAGAGGGGAAAAAGAGATCCCCAGTTCTGTTTTAACCAACTCCTCTGACTGAGAAGCATTATAACATAAAGTTTACTAAAGAAGTCTTTAGAGATGTCTTACAGCAAATCATTCAGCCTTTTGAATTCTGAAAGAGCTGAACATTAGGTTGTAGTTTGCATGGCATTTCGTCTCCTCTATAAAGTCTCTAAATATGTCACCAGTGTTGATATTTGATGCTGGTTAAGTAGATTCTTACTGAAGAACCTGCTTTTTGCACTTGCCCTCAAACTAGGCTCCACAACTTTTTATGAAAGAAATGCTGATATTTTTAGACTTCTGTACTCTAGGTATCCAGTAAGATGAAGACTTTGAGAGGAGGCTCATATCTGTATGTTGAATTTGTTATACTGTTTGGTTCCCTTACTTGGTTGTGTGGTAGTCTTTTTTCACTAATTAGTCAGATGACTTGGGTCAGTGAGGTGTTCTGATATACAAAATGGGAGGATTTTCACCTATTACCATACTAAATTGCACTGCTGAATTTCATGACTTAAATGAAAAATAAAATACTGGCTTGAACTATCCCACTAACTTCTGTCTTTTTCAAAGAACAAAACCTGAATCTGAAATTGCCTGTTTACCTGCATGATGATGGTGTCTTGTATGGAGCAATTGCAAAACATCCAACATCTGTTCTTAAGTGGAAATGAACCTGATGTTCTTGCTTTCCTGCATTTTTTTAGTGGAGTGTACATGAGTTTGACGTGAATCTTGAATTTCCACTCAAAGCGTAGAATGCAGGTGGTTTTCATTCTAAGCAGATTATGTAATCTCCTGCCATGTTAGAGGAGCTCCATGATGGTATTTGTGCATTGCTTAAGGCTTAGTGATTTGAGTCATCTGTATAAAAAAGGAATAAATTTTCATGTTCTTCTCTACCTAGTTGCACTGTCAGACCATATGTTAGTGTTTTCTCTTGCAGTTTTGCTCACTTAAGGATAGAAGTATTATACCAAACCTTGGTAAATGAAAAGTCATGAGCTTTTGCAAATGACACCAGTTAACACTTTTACTGTCTTTGCAGATAATTAGCAGAATGGGAAAAGCAAGTAATAAACCCCAGTTCTATAGCAATGTGTGAGGCAAAAGTCTGATCTACCCCTGTGGCAGGAGAACACCAGTGAGAAGGCTGGGATACAGATCTTCAGTCTCCTGGTTGGATTGGAATAGTTCTTTTCATTTATTACAAATCCTCACCTATTAGAACATGGAATGGAATTATCGTAAAGGCTCAGTAGTGACCTAGCACCTTTTAAAACTTTTTTTTTTGTTTGTAAGAATGTAGTGTGTCACTGAATACTGTGTTTCCTTGCACCTCATTTGTCTTTTGTTTTTAACTCCATAACCATTCATCAGACACTTCTTCCTCAGTTTCTTGACACTTTTCAGACTAGACCTATTGTGTGATAATATTTGACTTAACACATATTGTTCTTTAATTCTGAGGGATGAGCCAGAGAAGATGTCAGAAGTAATGGTCACAATCATAGAACCATTAAAGTTGGAAGCCTCTGAGATCATCATCATTAGCCTAGCACCACTACTTTTGCTGCCAAACTCAAATGTTATGTCTCTGTCTGCCTTTTGAACACTTCCAGAGATGTTGATTCCACATTTCCCTGGGCAGCCTGCTCCAATGCCTGACTACCTTTCCAGTGAATAAATTTTTCCTAATATCTAAGCTAACTTCCAGTGGTTTAACTTGACTCCATTTTCTCGTGTTCTATTGGGTGTTAACTGAGAGAAGCGACTGACCCTTACCTTGCTAAAACCTCCTTTCAGGTTGTAGAGAGTGATAGCCAATTATTGCTGACTTGAAGAGTTTCCAAATCTGTTAATTAGGATATAGTTGTTGACAGTTGCTGTAGCTGTGGCCAAGCTGTGTACACTAGGCAGAGAGGGGAATCTAAGAGAAGGGTAAGAGTCTACCTCAATAAGTATCTGACTTCACATTCTTGATGTTTTCCTGCTTAGTCTGGTCTCAGCCTCCTCATAAAAATGATACATGGGATCCCTGCAATACTGACTCATCCGTTGCCAATGTTCTGTGCTGCTCTTTGGTTTTGTGTAAGAGCTGTACATCCTAACACTTGCTGTGTTTGTAAATATGCAGTGGAGAGCAAATATTGGTTCAGAAACGACTGTTTTGAGTGATCTATAGATTTTTTTGGATGCTGCTATTATTAAATGTTTAGTTCAGTTTCTGCTTACAAGTTCATGTTCTGCTCGCATTACTTGCATTACACAGAGGCATTACTTGAGACTGTTCAACAATGTGAGTAGTTTGAGTGTTGCAGCTTGATGGATAGTTTTGAATTCTTGAGGAGCTCTGTGTTCTCTTATTGAGTTTGAAATCTCTGGATGATTTGTTGTTGGTGTCCCCACAGCCATCTTGAGAAGACACGTCTTGTATCTGAATTTCGAATGCGCAGGTTGTCTGTATATTTAGCTATAAAGCATAATTTAGTTATGAAATATAAAACGCAACTTCTTTCAAGCTGTGTTTGGTTCACAGTCTTTTGATATTCTGTTAGAGGATCAAATGGAAGATTTTTAAAATCTGTATAACTTGCTGTGCATTGTAAACCAGCAAAGTACAACTTGCCAAGAAACTTGGTTCATTTCAGGTGTCAGGATTCAACACTGTTTACCTTCCATGTGATTTTGAATTAAAGTAACTATAACTAAGCTTAATTTTTTTTTACTGAACAATTTTGACATGACTGCTTTCCTGTTTGATTTACAGCACTTAAATATCAAGACACTGACAGATGATGTGGTAAGACAACTTCAGTTTTGCTTTGGCTGGGCTAAGCAAATAACCTTACTGCTAATGCAATAAAAATAACCTTACTAATACAGGAAACTATCTTAACTTTGAGGATAATTTAGTTAATTGGCAAAGTCTCACTGAACTGGTAATTAGCTGTAACATAATCAGTATAAGTAGCAAAAATGTATGGATGGCTTTGAAGTATGCTCTAATCACAGCTAAATGAGCCTGACACAGGTAATTGTGCCAATCTACATGCAGTATAGTTAAGATATCTGTGATTGCATGTTTAATATCAAAGTTACTTAGGCTGCATGGCTAGCTTAAAATAACATGTTTAACAAAGTAACATTTGCTTGTGAACCTCATTATTGCTTGTTCAAACCACCTTAAGTATATTCAGTGTCATGTTTAACACTGCTTCTCAAATTTGATCAGAGATGAGGTTCTGTATCTAACCATAAACCAGATTTTTTTCTTGCTCTTGAAGTTACCTATTTCACTTCCTGTACTATTCTTTTGTGCATAATATTTTTTTTTCTTAAAATACATAATTTTACAAAGTCTTTGAATTGGCCTAGGAAGTAATGTTTTGTTATCACCTAAAGATCAGCTGTTATGACTTCAGTGCTATACAGAGTTCTCGCTAAAGTACTTCTGTGTGTAGCTGGGAGCTGAAGTGCAGAGAGATTTATGTCTATCAGTCTTAGTTTTACTTAAATCATCTGTTTCTATTTCTTTAGCAGAATTTCATTGGATGGAAATCGTGATTAAGAAAGTTGAGTTTGCCTGGCTGATAATGCAAGTTTAACTGACTGATAATACAAGTTTGATTGTGTAAACTTGTGTTTATCTTGAAAGACTAAGAAAATACTATCAGCTTTCTGAAAGCAAAAGTATTTTTTGGTAACTAGAAAACAAGTTTTAATAATGTCATGTAAGTGCTGTAGTCGGGATACACGAGATCTTGCTGTTTGTTTTTGTGAGGTGCATTTTTTTCCTTTTAAGGAGGCTAGACTGCTGCCTTTTTGCACTTTACAAAGCTTATTGGACTTGTCCAGCTTGTAATCGTAGCCCCAAAAAATTGGCGGGTTTATCGTGGATTTTGGGGATAAGAACAAAAAGTCTGTCATCTCTGTAGTAACCAAACTTTGCCCCAACTCCTTAAATTTCTCAGAGCATGAAAAAGGCCCCTTCACAGAGTAATGAAACCTCATTTGCAGGATAGTACCAAACTGTTCATATGAATATATATTTTTGAAAAGGGGAATGACAGCTATTTAGTAAAAGGCTAACAGTGAAATAAGTTACAGCACCACAACATTTGAGAACTTTTAAATACATGTCGGGGAGATATTCTGTTTACTTGCAGCATCATCTTGGAATGAGGGTACGCTTTCAAATGGACACTTTTTATTCCTCTATTTCAGTTTTCTGTTGGCTTAATCTTTCTGTGTGTGATTTTGGGACAAGGACAAAATTTGTAGTAAGAGAAGGTAAAGAAATTGAAGGTTTAAGATGACTTGATTTTGTAGCTTTCAATGAAATAATATATTTCCTTTCTTCTCATGGGCAATCGCTTGCATGTTAACTTACTGCTTCATTATGCTTTATGAAATATTTATATTTCCCAACCCATTTCTTACAAATACAGTTGTATGTTAGTGACCAGGAACTTCTTTTGTTTTTAAATTCAGGTATGTTAGCAGCATGTTGAGAATCTAAAAATACAGGCTGTTTCTCAATACCTAAATTGGATTATTTGTGAGATGCTGATGAATTGTCTACTTTTAGTGATAAATCCTCATTAAGTTCAAAAACCTTGGTTTTTACACAGGTGCTTCTTTTAGCTTGATTGTTTGCTATCTGCAAAGATGGCAATTGCATTCTTGCTCCACAGGGAAATGGAAAGCAGGTAGCTGAGATATCAAATTATCTCTCCCAAGTGCTCCATATTCCAACAATCACAGAATCATCAATGTTTGAAGATACCTTCAAGATCATGTAGTTCTACTGTCAACATAGCACCACCATAATCACCCCTAAACTATATCAAGTGCCACCTCCAGATGTCTTGTGAACAATTCCAGAGATGGCTACTCCATCATGCTCCTGGGCAACTCATTCCAATGCTTAACTACTCTGACAGTAATTTTTTTTTTCCCTAAGGTCCAATCTGAACCTCCCTGGGTGCAACTTAAAGCCATTTCCTCCCATCCTTTCACTTGAAATGGTGGAAGAGGCCACATCCCACCTTGCTAAAACCTTCTTTCAGGTATTTGTACAGAGCAGTGGGATCCCCCTTGAACCTCTTCTACTCCAACATAAACATCCCCAGCTCCCTCAGCTGCTCCTCACAGGACTTGCTTTCTAGACCCTTCTTTCACCAGCTCTGGACACAGTCCAGCACCTCAATGCCTTTTTTGTAGTGAGGGGCCCAAAACTGAACACAGGATTGAAGTGTAGTCTCACCAGAGCATCACCAGCGAGATGGTCACTGTCCTGGTCCTGGTGGCCACACTATTTCTGATACAGGCCAGGATGCCATTGGCCTTCTTGGCTGCCTAGACACATGCTGGCTCATTTCAGCCGCTGTCAACCAGCACCTCCAGGTCCTTTTCTGCTTGGCCATGTTCCAGCCACTCTGACCTCAGCCTGTAGCTCTGCAAGGGGTTTTGTGTGACCCAGATTCAGGATCTGGCACTTGGATTTATTTGAACATCAGGCTGCTGTCCGCAGTCCATTGATCCAACCTGTCCAGATTCCTCTGCAGAGCCTTCCTGCCTTCCAACAGATCAACACTTGTCAACCAGTGTGGTGTCATCTGCACACTAACTGAGAGAGCACTTAACCCCTTAGTCCAGATCACTGATGAAGATATTTAACAGGACTGGCCCCAATACTGAGCCTTGGGGAACCCCACTTGTGACCAGATACCAGCTTGATGTGGTATCATTCACTACCACTCCCTGGATTCAGCCATCCAAACAGTTTTTCACCCAGCAAAGACTGTACCTGTCCAAGCCATGAGCAGCCAGTTTCTCCATGAGAATGCTGTGGGAAATGGTGTGAAATGCCTCAGTGAAGTCTAGGGAAGCACCGTCCACAGCCTTTCCCTTATCCACTGATTAGGTCAAATGATCATAGAAGGGGATCAGGTTGGTCAGGCAGGACCTGCCTTTCCCAAACCCATGCTGGCTGGGCCTGATGTCCTAATTGTCCTGTACATTCTGTATACTGACACTCAGGATGATCTGTTCCAAGACTTCCCCGGGTACCTAGGTTAGTTTGACAGGCTTGTGGTTCCTTGGATCATCTTTCCAATACTTCTTTTAGGTGGCCTTTATATTTGCTAATTTACAGTCAACTAGAAGTTCTCCAAATAATCAGGACTGCTGGTAAATGTTTGAAAGTGGAATTGGTGAGCTCTTTTACCAGCTCCCTCATTATTCCCTGGTACATCCTATCCATGCCCATAGACTTGTGGGTGTTTAACTTGCACAGCAGATCACTAGCCATTTCCTCCTGGATTATGGGGGCTTCACTTGGCTTCCCATCCCTAACTTGAATCTCTGGGGGTTGGGTTTGCTGAGCACAACTGGTTTTGGTATTGAAGACTGAGGTGAAGAAGGCATTAAATACCTCAGCCTTTTTGTCATCCTTGGACACTACACTACCAGCTGCAACCAGCAAAGAATGGAGACTCTCCATAGCTGTACTTTGCTGGTAATGTATTCATTGAAACTTTTGTTGTCTGTAACAACAGTGACCAGGTTCCAGTTTGGCTTTGACTCTTCTACTTTTTCACCTTACATAACCTTACAACATCCTTGTAGTCCCCCCAAGTTATCTGACCCTCCTTCCAGAAGTGATATGCTTTTTCTCTTCCCTCTTCCCCTGAGTTTCAGCCTAAAGTTCTCTGTTTAGCCAGGCTGGTCTTTTTCTCCCCTGGATTTTTTTATGGTATATGGGGACAGCCTGCTTCTGTATCTTTAAAATTTTCCTTATTACCTTATTTCCTTATTCTGTATCTTCAGCCTTCCTGGACTTCTTTACCCTTCAGAATTGATTCCAAGGGGCTTTGTCAGTCCATGTCCTAAAAAGGCCAAAATCTGCCTGCCTGAAGCCCAAAGTAGCAATTCTTCTGGTGCCCATCCTTACTTGATTCAGAATTGAGAACTTTATCAATGTTGTACTCCCTGTGCCCAAAATGGCCACCATGCACACCATATCACCCACTAGTCCTTCTCTGCTCACAAAGATGTATTGGGACAGCTCCCTTGGTAGGTTGGGAGGGGATTCACCTGGCACCCCAAGCAGGGACCTACCTCCATTCTCCCTGTCTCTTAGGTCCCCTCCTGCCTATTGGGGGTGAGGATCTTCCTGAGATGCAGTTTGCTGGCATGCCTGTCTCAGCGTTGGCAGAGAGAGAAGAGAGTAAGACTCAGAAAGGTTAAAAAAACCTCCAAATTAACAGAATTTTATTAAAAGATGTCTTATGTAGACAAAAAAGAAAAACATACTAAAATTCCTTAGACATCAAATTATACTGATTTCGTAGCAACTGCTTTAAAGATTAGAAAGGCTGTATAATTTTCAGTATATAGAGAAATAAGATTCAGAGTGAAATATTGTCTACACATTTAGAATGTGATTGTGCACAAGTCTAAAGTCTATAAATTTAAAGATTGGTAAAATAATCTCTGAGATTGAGCTTATTAGGAATAAGAAGTCATTTTATCAAAGGGATTCTTCTGTGTATCTTGGTTTATGCAAGTCTTGCTCTTCCTAAAAGCTCTACTGCTGGCTGTGGAATTTCTCACATACTAAGAAGTTAATCTTGTAGAGCAATTTGACTGTAAAAGAAAGAATATACTTTTTTAATCTTCTGGAGCTTCAAGGAGGAAAAATATGTTAAGAGGTCTTTGACTTAGAGTCATTGGAAGTAACTCCTTTGATCTTTTGAGAAGTATTTCTGCTGGTAAGTAGGTTGCTTTAAGTTCTGA